ACCGCGTTCCAAAGTAATGGGACGCTTTCAGTCTGCCAAACCTTCTCAGACAATCTAGTCAGTTCCCTTACTAGAATCGTTCCTCCATCCTTAAAAAGTGCCGGGGATAAGTTGTATGGGGTTAGTGCCTTGTGGTGTTTCGGAACTTCTAGACCTCCTTTTTATTAGGTGGGTCAGTGTTTACTGGCCATGAAGCTACGATACACAGAAACTGAGGATGCTGGGAGGACTGACCAACTAAACTGCTTTTTGAAGTGCTCCATCCAACGTTCAAGGTGACTTTTAAAATTGTTTATTGGCGTACCACCTACCTCACAGGCCATCTCACTGACACCAGGCTTCTTGTTGCCAGTGGCTCGAATAAGTTTGAACAGCTTCCGACTATTGCCCGATGCAGCAGCTGCTTCCATCTCACTCGCGCTTTCTGAATACCAAGCCTCATGGTCCTTGCGTAAGCGTTGTGTAATCTTTCGCATAAGAGACACGCGAATCGTTGCCCGACCGTCGGCTGCTACCTTGACGTGGTGGTCGGGCTTGCAAATCATAGTGATCCAACGAGCTGTGCTGGTGGAACGCTTGTTCCCTCAAGGTCCTACCATACCAGAAAGGTCTGTTGGATAGTGGTAAAACGAAAGGTAGTTACTGCTGCGGTGTGAATTATTACACTGTTATGGGAGTCCGAGGGTGAAGTCGTACTACAGCCAGCTAGATGGGGTGTGACAGTAGTGTATTTCCCTTGGATAACCAACAGTGCCACGTTGATACTGCCTTACCAATGCGAAGTGAGGGGTTAAAATAGGTCGGACCTGAAAATACCAATCCACCTGCCCTATAGTCTTTCGGTGACGGGGGTGAGTCCACTCTAGCCGGCGTTAAAACAGCTGACGAACCGAAAACGGTGATCGTTTGTTGCAATTCTGTTCCGACAATCGCTTATTTCTGGATGTCATTAACTATAAGCATAAGGAGTGGCACCGTCCAACATGGCGTCCACCGACATCAAACCAACGATGGACACAAATACAGAATACTGATATAAGTTATAGTTGGAGAGGATCAGTGAAGAGTTGCCTCTCCTTCCGGAGTACCAGTTTGGACTCCAATCACGCGCAAGTGCGGGCTCGTGTATGTCTGTGGCCTACTGACCACAGGAAACAAGTGATAATGAGTCATGTATTTGGTCGATTGGAAACTAGAGAGGAGTTGGCCGAGCGTTTGCAAATGACAGCAATGCTCATCCTGATAAAATTTGGCATGATAATAACTCTGTTGTTGAAACCACAGTAACTATAAGAAAAATGAAGTGATCAAGTAGCTTGACTTGAAGCTAAATATGGTAAGTTAGTCCGAGTGATCAGTTGACATCCCCGCTTGAGGAAGATTTTAGTGAATATTTGTCACACGTGCTTTAGATGTATCAGTCTTGGGTGACATCTCCAAATGTCTGGTGCAAATCCTCACCGACAATCCAGTGATGACTACTATTGCTAACATCATAGTGTTCTTGTGAATACGGGTATGTACATCTAACGTTTCATTTTCATTGCTTGAAATGCTGAAACTGTGTGCATACAAACACTAGTATTCCGATTCTTATTCTTCCTTTATGAAACAGACAGTAACAGTTCGGTTACTCCGAATTGCAAACATTTATTGCAGGGAATATTTCGATTGCGACAACACCACACTTTTTGTCTGATGTTAAGTGGTGGTTAGAGGCGATCGACAGGAAGCCCTACCGATCAAAACATATTCCTATGATGAGCTTCCTTCTTTTTTGACCACATGGCGAAATGTAATTGACCAGAGAAACAACAACGATTAGATTAGAAGTGGATGTTTCAAAGGTAACACGCCTATTGAGTGCTGAATCCAGTCATCTTTTGAAGTGGCCAGTACAAATACAACGATGTCTGTTTCCATTGTATGCAGGTAGCCATCCTCCAATCTCTTTGTGGATGTAGTCGAAATAGGCACCAGATGTATTGAACATTACAAAGAATATTTTATGCGTGAATTAATTTCACACCTCTAGCAAGCTATGCTTGACCGAGTCCACTGAACTATTTCCTCACTCATTCCACGCAACAAGCGTAACAGCTGAGAAGGTTTTACAGTGTTCCAAGACAACAAACCGACAACAGTGTACATCTATCACAATTCGGTTATAATAAGCAATTATTTATGGTCAGTATTGTCTTCAGGCATAAAGAGATGTACATTCTCACTCGGCATCTGCCAGCGTCAAACCAATGATATTGAAAGGACAAATTACATTGCTGTGCGCCATCGTTGGAGAGGATTAGTGGAGGATTTCTCGCTGTTTGTGAAGTACCTGGTTTCACTTCAGTCACCAGTTTGCATGGAAATGTATATGTTTGCATCCTATTGGTGACAGTGAAACCCGTGCCAGCTCGTCTGGAAGATGAGAATGCTAAGTGTGTATGTAGAGAGTGAATATTGAAGTACTCACCTGAACATGACAAACATTCTTCTCATGATGAAGCCTGGCATGAACTTCAGTCTGCTGTTGGAACATTGTTAAACGCGGTTAGTAACACACCCTAAGGTTAGCGAAAACCAGGGGAATCCCTCAGCTCAGTCCACATTGATTAGTGTGAAGAGACGTAATCCAGCTGCCTGTGAGCAAAGTGATTAGTGAAAGTAGCTCAAGTGTAGGCTGACCAGGTGCCTAGTGCTGAATCCTGGAAGCTCACAGAAGGCTAAAATTTATCACACTTTGATGCCCATCAAAGTTCGATCATATCCTTGTAACTCGAACTTCGTATAGGATTGTAGGTCATGCACCTTAAAATCGATTTCAATCGAGCAGTTGTGCGCACATGTTAACTTCATCTTAATTATCACCTGAAATTCATTCCTTTTTGTCTATACTTCCTCACGTTTTATGGATTTGCACTAATTCTGGTTACTTTCTTACTATGAATTTCTTCCCAATGAATTGGAAACCGTAATCAACAAGTGAACCAAACGCCGTAGTAGTTAAGTGTTAAGTCCGAAGCACTAAATTTTTCTATGGTGTAATGTTGTACTAATAGATGGCAGTGATTTACAAACTGTAAACCTCGGATTGTGAGGTGTCTATGAACTTTTCGCCGTCTAACGTGTCAACAATACAAACAGCGAAGCTACGTCCAAAGTAAAGTAGCCGAAAAATTCAAGGCATCAATCAGACCACAGGCATAGCGTTAACAATTATATGTTCATAAAAGGGTATATCATCATGAGAATAACTGCGGTGGGAAGGATACCACTATTCTGGGATGTAAAAGTGATAAGTAAAATATGACGAGAGCAGACATGAGCGATGATTGATGAGGGTAAAGTGACGTTATTAGGCAATGCGAATCACGCTACTCGTTGATAGTAAGTAGTCTAAAACTGTATAAAAGATATATATAAAAGGTATAGGCCTAAATCCGAGTTGGGAAATAGTCTGAAGGTAGTAAGAAGAGAACTAACACTTCCTTTCTTCACTATTTTCCTCCTTGTTGCATTCTACCTTGGTGTCCTGATATAGTGTTTGGTATCTTGAAATTCTACTTCGTAATGTTAAGTCCCGTTTTGTTGGTGATTGATGGGCAACAGAAATTGACTCACTAGCTGTTGCTGATATGTGTAAAAATCCACTACATATTTCTCAAAGTTCCTGTGACAATAAAAACTCTATAGACCATATCTGGAAGGTTATGAAGTCGCGTTGACGTGATTATGGACAACAAATTCCAACTGAGACCTAATGTAGTAAATAATACTGTTTCATTGTATGATAAGCCTAAAGAATCAACTGAAATAGAATCATATTCTGCCACATTTTCAAATATTTCTCCTAACATTGGGATGTAGAGCGATTGTTTATCTGTCTTAGTCATCAAGCTCAACATTGGCACAGTGTGGTGATTGGATTTGTGGGAGGTGTTCTGAATACAAACTGATGATTCCCTGAGTAGTGAAAGGGTACCATTCGTTTGTGAAACGTTGTGGAATGATGGGCAATGAAAAATAAATGTGAATGTGTTCATAAGTCGGTGGAATACTATAGCCAACCATATTTGTTTATTTCTTCACTCTGAAACACTAGACTCAGACTGCTGAGAACGACATCCATGAAAGCGTTTGCACGTATGCTTGTACGTAGAGTTCAATGTTCCTGTAATCATGTAACTGTTTTAGTTAGTGTAATTCATTATATGCGAGTCTTTCTAAATTTCGTAGCGAGTTAATATCTGATGAGTATTCTATCTTATGAACTTCGCAATCGCTCATATCTATATAGGTGACTCACTTACTGTGTTGAAATCGGAGCATATCGACAATTTCCTCACACATAAAACCAACAGTAGGCGCAATGCAATCCACTTACGACGAGTTAGAAAATGAACAAGAGAATTACCTATATTGGCTTGCAGGATAAAACGAAGGACAGACGGTGGTTTGGATACGTGCGTCTACAGGAAACCAGCACATTGTAACAGGTATCCAGACTTCAAGTCATCTCATCCAGTGTCAGTCAGTTGAGACGGTGTAGTCAAATGTCTAAATGACAGAGCTGACATACTCAAGAGTCATTGTAAGGACTTTACCGAGAAATTGAAACATATAAGAGGAGCGTTATTACTTAATAATTATCCTCTAGAGTTTATTAAGAAATTGGTACAAACATATAAGAAAGAAATAATAACAGTAACACGAGTATGAATAATAATAATAACAAGAAGAGAAGAAAGGAGTTCACAGCCCCCATTGTGTTACCCTATAAGGAAGGAACATCAGGAACTTTACGTAGAATACTCCGCAAAGCTTGAATTAGTAACACTTATCATTCGTTACTTTGAGAAAGAAACCCCGTTGTGATAATTCCTAGAATAAAAGTTACCGTCTTATTAGTGATTTCATTTGGCTTTGTCCTCTCGTTTTTTACATACTTGCCAGTTAATTTGTAACCTTATTTCTTTTCTTCCGTTTCTTCAATGTTACAGGTTCGACAGGACAAAGATTCAGGATTACTTTCTAAAGCATTGGGCTATATGTTTGGCTGGTCATAAATGCGTGCATCCTTCCTAAAGCTGACTTATATTGATGAATATTTTCATCTTGGATTACTGCCAGTACGCAGAGGCTTGTGTTTTTATAATTATCTCTGTCTTATCTCTAATGCTCAATAAAATTATAGGACTGTTCTTGTAAAAGTGTTCAGCTTTTGTTTTGGTCAAGCGAAAGCAACCGGTTTCATGTTTTCCGAGGCTGTTTCGGATATGCTTGATTCATACATGTGGGCCCACTGCAATTCTGACAAGTAGTTAGTGCATTGACTCCTAACTGTGGAGTAATCAATTTCATGCTCTCTAATCATCTAGGTTCACATATTCATTTGCAGTGAAACAGAATAAATGGCATACAATTAGGGGGGGGGGAGAAAAGATGGTTAATTTTGATGGGACGAGCCTCTATATCAATCAGTATGACATATCATATAAGGTGTATTTTACAGGTTGTTAAATCTTTATTCGAATCTAATACTTCCTTATCATTTAGATGTGACATTTACATCAGTGAAATCTATATCATCAAGCTAGATGGGTAGCAATGGGCTCACTGGTCTGACCTATTGTAGCTAATCTATACATGTACCAAGTAGAATCAGACCTAGTTACCTAGTGTGATTTAAAAAATAGAATATGGTGGAGATACATTGATGACACCTTTGTCATAATCAAAAGACATGGTCTAGAAAATCTCGAATGTTAGCACAGCTTCAATTCCATAAAATCCACTTACAAACTGGAAACAGAATCCAAAACGCTAGCTTCTCTGGACTGGAGGGTCATACAAAACACATTCGGAGCACTTGATATTAGTGTGTGTCGAAAAGTTACACATTCCAACAAATACCTAGAGTCTAGACTCTAGAGTCAGCTCACCCTCGAGAAAGTAAGTTAAACGTCGTCAAAAGTCTATTGACATGATCACAAAAGATGCCTAACAACATTGGAGAGACTTCACATCAAGTATTGGGACGTCTAACAGAGCACAGCTGAAGTTGTGAGCAGCAACCAAAAATTCTTATAATCTAGAAAAACTTGAAAAAAGCTCTGCCAACGCTGCTTATTCCTTATATTCATGCCATAGAATACCATTTGAAAGGGCAGAAAAGGGTCCCTTTCTGACAAAAAGCGAATCAATGCAGAAGATCTGCATATCTGTTCGCACCTTTCTGCGGTCAACAGAAAAGATGGATTGAGCATCTTACAAATATGGCAAACTTAACTAATCCCACTGCATTATACTTTGCTGATTCAACGTTTTCATCTATTTTACGCTCCTTTCCGAGTTATATACATTCTGTTAACCGTTCTAGATATTAAAAAATCAACTTTATTGGCATTCGAACTTCAGCTGTCACTATAAGTGTGTCAAAATTAGAAAATTCTAATCTTAGCCAAATTATTAATCAATTTGACGTCTACGAAAGATACATATTTATGGCTCAGGTACCGATTCGGATGACATCCTACACGAGTTCAACAATGGTCACTTACTGTTGGGATTCACGATGGGAGCAGAATTTGAAGCAGCTATTTGTTTCCTTGACGTGCTAATTACGAGACGTAGCAAAGGGACACTCATAGAAGCTGTCTGCAGGAAACTTACATGGTTCGGACAGCTTCTTACTGTCTACACTCGGATATCGATCATGAGGAAATGAAACTTCATTCACTCACACTGCTATCGGACACAAAATATTTGTTGCATAGACTGTGTGCAAGTTCAAACTTTTTAAGTGGTACGCTTGTGAGAAGGGCTATCGTAGCCGATTTGTTAATAAAACTATGTGAGAAAGACATGAACTCAGTTTCTAGAACGACTCTGTTCATGAATCTGGAATTGAAAGGCAATGTGGCATCGGATATCCTAAAACATTGTATTTCGAGAAAAATAAGCAGGATGTTTTATGAAAGGGAATTTCATTTAACGTTTACTAGTCGTAAATTGTTTTCCGTTTGTGTAAAAGAAAATATCCCTCCACAGGTCACCTCCATGTGTGCCTACCACTTCACCTGTTCCCGTGAAGCAAGGTACATTGGCTGTAGCGTGAGATTGTTGTCAAAACGTATGCGAAAACATATTTCATACAGGCTTTATAAGGGTGAAAGGAAATGCATCAGAACTTCAATCTTTGAGCCAACTCGTAAAGTGATTTGAAGGCTGTCCATCGAATTCACTCAAATAATTCACATTTTCTGCGCTTTCCACTTCTAAAAACATCAGAGGTCATTATGTGAATGCAGGCTAAGAGTTGACTGGATAATTTCACAAATATTGGGCGCCGAGTGAAAAGGTGACATAAGATGTAAGTCATAAATGGACAAATATAGGCGTGTTTGAATTAAGAAATTCCAACATTTCGCATGGAATCCTGGTCCGAGCTTCTTCAAGAAAAAATAATCAAAATCTACCTTATCATCAATATATATATATATATATATATATATATATATATATATATATATATATATATATATATAAGCCGCATCATCCTGGAGAAACTAAAGGATGCGCTCGATTCAAAACTATGACCGGAACAGGCCGGCTGGATTCAGGAAGTAAAAATCATGTGCTGACCAAATTGCAACGCTTCGCATCATCATAGCATCAACATAGCATAGAATGGCAGTCAACTTCATCGACTTCGAAAAGGCCTTTGACAGCGTCGACCGACAAGTAATTTGGCAATCGCTTCAACACTACGGAATACCACAAACCTTTATCAACCTCGTTCAACAACTATATGAAGACGCCATATGACATGTAATTCACAATGGGAAACTCAGTGATGACTTTGAAGTGAAGTGGAGACAGGAGTAAAACAAGGCTGCCTAATATCACAGATCGTCTTCCTGATTGTAGTGGACTGGATCATGCAACAAACAGTGAGAAGAGGGGTATACGCAGGCTGGATCAGGGAAAAGATCCTAGAAGACTTAGATTTCGCCCATGACTTGTGTCTAATGTCACACAAACTTGAAGATCTATAGGTGAAAACTAACAAGTCGATAGAAGAGGCAGGCAGGGAAGGAAGATGGGACTTCAAGTGAACGTAGAGAAGACAGAGATGATGAAGATGCCCAACCAACAAAGACAACAACAACAACAAGCTTCAATCACCATTAACAGGAGGAACTTAAAGAAAGTAGCCTCTTTTACCTATCTAGGCAAGGCAGCATCGTTTCAACTACAGGCGGCGGCACAAACGAGGACATCAAAGTCAGCCAGGATCGGAAAATCAAGACAGGCGTTCATCAGCCTGAAACCAGTGTGGCGATCTACTGCACTCAGCACAAAGAACAGGATGTGGATTTTCAATACCAATTCAGTCAAGTCAGTGCTCCTGTATGGTTCAGAGACTTGGTGGGTTACGAAAGGGATTTCCAACAAACTACAGATATTCATCAACAACTGCCTACGCTGGCCCGTTACTGAAGATCAGATGGCCAGAATAATGAGAATAAGCAACAAGGAACTCTGGCTGGCAACGAACCAACCAAGAACTTATCGCTCAATAGATATGCATAAGGAAGTGTAGATGGATTGGGCATACACTGAGAAGGCCGACTGGGAACAGTATGCTGCAGGCGAGGCACTCGAGTGGAGCCACGATGGGAAGCAACGAGTTGGGCGTCCGAGGTGAGGGTGACATGAAGGAGATTGTGTGAGGAAGAAATGAGAGCTTGTGGGCTGTCGTTGAACGAGGTTCAAAAGATTTGAGAGAACAGAATGCACTGGAGATGTGCTACTGAAGTCCTATGTTCCATTAGGAACCCAAGGGACAAACAATCATATATATAAACAGGTCAAAAACCTTATAGTTCATCCCATTGTCCAATCGTGTCTGGAGTACTCGCCATTCACACCATGGTCCATTGATACATTCGATGCATGAATGTAAGTCTGTGTTTGTCTGTATTGTATTTCAGACATCGGCTAAATGTATAACGACTATGTATTTGTTGTATGTGGCACAAAAATAGTCATTTATGCCTATATATATAATAATGATTTGAAGTTGATAAGCTTAGTCTTTTTTGTTTCTTGAATGCCGTAGAATAAATTATGATAATAATAAATATAGATACATTTAATGGGACATTGTTTATTGCTGATGGTGATGACAGATTAGCGCAATCAGGAATAGAAAAAATGGGACATAACTGCTAATTTACACGAACTAAGCTAATGCTTGTTTGGCTTTGTTTACATCTATTGTTTCGTCACTAATTGCTGCAGAGTAGCCAGCTTCACTCCTTTTAGTCTCTTTTCAAGCTGTTGATATTAGCCCATCTATGTAGGGTCTTGGCAGTCAGTCTTTGTTTATATGACGAAAAAACCTTTTTGAACAACTTTGGTTCCATCGAAATCAATTTCGTCTGCCGTTTCTATCGAATTTAAACTTATCGGTGATCTCTTCCACAGTCTCTGAGTGTCTACCGTAGTCTTTGGACATTGTCTGTGTTCCTTGTCTCTCACTTTCACGTGCCTGTATGCTTCCTCTGCATATACTACATCACAGTCTGAGCAATTTATTTAATAGACACAATTTTGTTCCTTTTTCCGTTGGTATTACCTCTTTGTCCTTCATCAGAGCAGAACGTAGATTATCTGTAAGGAAATAAACTTTATATCATGTTGAATGTGGGGATTAAGTGATTTTTCAAGTTATTATTCATCATAGACTAACATCATTTGTAGGAACATTGGGAACCTCCTCAGTAGTGTGTATCCATGACACCGTTGCGTATCGAACATAGGACTCTCATGATTCTGTGGTCAACACGTTACCAGATGGAAAAACTTGCCGTTATTTCATCTTCAATAGAATAGGTTGCACGATTCTGTTCCTGAATTTATAGGAGTTTTTTACTCCGTAATTTACTCCTTTTTTTTTACATAATTTTAAGATTTCAGCCAAATATTATGTCAAAATTGTACTTGGGTTGGTAGAATCGACAACTGGTTATAATGGAATATCTGCCGTGTGTATTTTTGGTAGCCTATGAAATCTGCAAAGTGGTACAATTTTTTGATGATGGAGAGAACCAAAGTGAAGTTCTTAGTTTCTCTTTCATAGATCTTCAAATAATGCTGGTTTTGGCTTTGAGTTTATTCACTGTAACACATGATTTAGT